CCCTTCGGTGTCCATGGCCAGGTGGGTTTTGGTTACTGAGTCAATTCAACCTTGAATGCATGTGCAACTCGTTAGTCAAAATTCGCTGCCTAGTGATTTTTAAAGGAATTAACTTACCTTCAAAAACAAAGGGCTATCCGATTTCATACAAACTTTGCACATCTTGATATTTGTTTTACCTTTACTCAGATAAGAAAATGAATAAAAACATACGAAATAATACTCTCTCAAACTTAATAGACATCAATATGCCTACCAACCTTAGATCCTATGCGAATGTGGGACCTATCGGTCCACTTCTTCTGCCAAAATTAAAAAATCTATAAGATGAGTGTATGTTATTGTTAAAACCTAGCACATCGCAACATTTTTTTACATAAAACTAATCGGGTACCCGATTCCCGCCTGTGGTAATATTTTTATCAGACTTAGGTCAGGAGGAAATTTACACAATATTGGCCCACTGTTTCTCGTACTTTTTCAAAAAGATCAACATTTTGAATACCAGTAACTTTTGTAAAATGTGAAATTAGTATCACTTCACATACGATTTAGGTCAGGTTCAATAATTAACGCCATCAGGTTAACGGAAATAGTCCGAGAGTATATATCTGTTCCCAACGAAATCGACTGAAAAAGTGAACACTTATCGCAGATACTGGTGTAGTGGAAGCCAATAACAGCATCTGAAACTTTAATTAGATAACCACCACATTTGCGGAAACACCCGAGAAGAAGGTAACAATTCAATATTATGGTGTGGTATTAATAATCAATATATTCATTAGGGATATAATGGAATTATAGGCAGCACATCATTCATGCAAGCAGGTCACGTTCGTATATGGACCTAAGATGTCCACATTAGGGGTTCTTTACCAAAACTTGCTGCTTTTAAGGGGTTTTAAAGAACAGCAGACTTTCAAAATAAGTAGTCATATATATCATTTTTTTCAATGAAAATAAACGTTGTCTAGATCAATTCCCACCTACTCCGATCATTATTTCTCGATATTGTAATCCATTCACGGTTCAATGTCGTATCATACACCGCAAGAAATAGTCACACATTGAGGACGGACAATTTTGTTTATTTGCGTAGCCAATTTTGTTTATTTGCGAAATGGACCAATTCCGTCGAAATAATTTTCGATGGAATTCCGGTTAATTTCGATGCATTTTAAGAACTCAATCACATTGCTGATGATTGGCTTGTTTTAACTGAATTCCATAAGCCTTTAGACTCAAGTTTTATGCAAAATACGGAGACACGTAGGTTTCCTTCAACATATTGTACTACAGTAGCAGTGTTCTCTTTTTAATAATCTTTGTAAATCATTGAAATAATAATTTTAGATCCAACAAAGTAAAAAAAAAACTTTATCAACTTTATTATATATCGATTGTAATCACGCTAGAATCCAAACGACTAGGTTTCACCACACATTTCACAAAGTTCTTACCAAAAATAACAGTTTCGCAATAATTGATCTATATTGTGTACCCGAAACAATATATATAATACGAATACCAAGTCTCGATCGGGAGAAGGTATCAAAAGCTCGGCCCCACCGAACCTCATTGCTTTTATACCTTTCACTATAACATAGAGGGTATATTAAATTTGTCATTCCATTTGTAACTCCTCGATATTTGTGATCAGCGTAAAATACTAACATGAATTAGCCTTAGATGTCCGTCACTCTATCTTCTGAAGGAATTGGGATAGAGAGCTGAAATTTGGTACACATGCATTTCGGATCTCAAATGGCCTATAACGGCCATTATCCATCGAGGGTATTATCTAAAACTTTGTATTTGAAGTTTCTAATTGTTGCTAAAGGTCCTCATTTTGACTTTGCACATATAATGGTGGATGTTATCAAAATTTCGGCCCGGTCGAACTTTTTTACTTCTATTATTATTATTTTTTTTTTTTTTGTGTAGAGTTTAATAATTTCAATGCATTGGTTAAGCGTTTATTATTCCATTCCAAGTGTACCAGTAGTCGACACTTTTAGAATTTTCAATGTTTCTATCTTTCAACATTCTGAGTGAAATCTTTCAATTGCAGAAGAATAAAGTTGTTCAGATTCCAAATTTTGTTTTGTTTTCGAAATAATAAACAACAATAGAATTTGTTTTTATTAAATTGACAAAATTTGCAATTTTATTAAAATAGTAGTTTTTTGCCAGTAGTCGGCACCATTTTCCAAGGCTCGGCATGTCTATTTGCCAGTAGTCGGCATATAGTATTTCAGTAAAAAAATATTATTTTGTATTTTTTTTTATTTCTAATAGTATAAAACAATGCTATATTACTAATTCACAGTTCAATTAATTAATTTCGTTTTTAAATAGTGTTTTATTTAATTATCATTCTAAACCAAATATAGGTGGAAAATCAAGAATAGTATGGTTACCTTCAGTAACGTATGGATTTTCAATTAAAATAAAAATTAGATTAAATAAAAAAGAAAAAAGTACCTTTCTTATATTTGGAATTTGTGAAATGATCTCTTTCCTTTCTACTTAATTTAGAAAAGTTGGTCAAAAAGCACAAATAAAAACAACTGCCGACACAAAAATATGTTTTTATTTGTGGAGTTTTTAGATAATTTTTTAATAGTTTTCTCAAGTTTTGGTAAAATGGGTCAAAAATTATATTTTTCCGATTTGTATATTTTTTAAGCTATAAAATGTTCTTAAGGCTGTTATTTACTTTAATAAAATATTTCTGATTCCAAAAGTATTAAATTTAATTTACTTAAATCGATTATCAAGTTGACACCACCACTTTACAAACAAGCACTATCGCATGCGTTGGAAGTAATAAATGATCGGAGCTCTTTGTTTTTTTACAGAAAGAGAGCAGAGAACGCTGTTGACGTTTTTTTTTTTTTTTTTTTTTTTTGTAATTATTTCATTATTTGGTCAATTCTATTCTTAGTTATTTAAGTTTAAATTTCAAAACTGCCGACTACTGGGACATGCCGACCTTAGGCGCACTTACCCTATATTAAGTTTGCCACTCCAGTTGTAACTTATTAAAATAATCATTCTAGACTCAACAACGCATATACAGGGTGAAATGAAAAAAACTGCAACCAATTTCAGACTGTTGTCATTGCTAAGCCACACGTTCGAGCTGTAAAATTATTCCAGTGACAGTTCAATATATTGTTTACATGCGTACAAAAGCATTTTGGTGAAAATTTTCCAATTCGTGATGAAATTCCAGCGTAATAGTGTGATTTCTTTATATTTGGCTGGATAATCACAAGTGGCTATCGTTAGAACACTCCAGCATTTAAATGTGAATAAATCTTTTGTGGCTCGTGAGCTGAACATATCGTAATATTCCAAATATTGAAAGAAGAGTTCGGTATAAGCCATTGCAATTCCAAAAAGTGCAATAACTTACACCGCAACAGAAAGAAAATGGACTCAAAAGAACTAAAGAGTAGCTTCGCTTGGCCGAAAGTGGTGAGCTGCCGAATTTGGTTTTCTCCGATGAGAAAACATTCGTTGACCAGCAGTTTGTAAACAAACAAAATTATCGTGTTTACTTACCAAAAAAAAGTCAGCTGAAAATGTGCACCTTCGGTTGGCCACCAGAACTCAAGCGCCAGCCATGGTAATGGTGTGGGCCGCCATAACAGCCTCATTTCCAGCACACAATGGCCACCAAAATCTGCGGATACCAATCCGTTGGACTATTGTGTCTGGAGTATTTTGGAAAGAAAAATGAAAAATTATGGCGTTTGACTTTGTTTCAGTTTTTTTATCTCACCCTGTATAGGTGAAAATTGTCATATATATTACATATAACGATGCCACCTCACATTCGGTATTCTGAAGGCTTACCCTTAATTTTTGGGACGAAATTGTTTGAAATTTGAAAATTCTGTCCATATTTTTTCTAAACTTTTATAAGTAGCCTACCTTCGGCCGGGGCTTCAGATTTTCTCGTCCAGGCTGTGTCCAATACCGGTAACGCGATCCATAGTTCTCCTAAACTTTATAACTTTTTTTTTTAAATTTCAGGTCAATCCGAGCCTCTAGACTCAACTTAAGCCTTGTTTTCTTCCCCCATAGCAAACTGCCACATTCCCCGTGGGGATTATGTCCCTTTTAAAAGCAAACATAAAAAGTTAGTTTGTAACTCACCAAAGTAATTCTGCCACACCAAAGTCTACGTAAATCCCCATATTCGGTATTTTGGTGATATTATCCTCGGAATAGCATATTATTTGGCATTTACAGTTCATAACGAGTTCTCCTTACTGCGGCAGAATATATAAGTCCAATTTCTTTTATATGTTCCATATGATTGTACCTCCCGATATTTGGTCTTTTTATAGTGTTTTTATAGCGTAACGTTTACTGGTATTTGTATATCAACAAAAATGTATAATTTCCATACCAAGACGATTTCCTTTTCCAAAAATAGCAACACTTCTGGATTTAAAAATCATCATCTATTTGTACTTTCATCATAATGTAGATATAGGTGCAACCACTTATGTTTAAATGAAATGTAAACCTTCCGTACATTTTCCGATATTTTTATTTCATTAACATTCAAAATTAATTAAATGCCGCTAATGATTGTGTAATTATTGAAAACAGTATAAAAAAAGAAATGCCTTATAAAATACCGCCAAGGCGGCAAAGTTTTTTTTCTTTCAGATAGAGTGAAATTTGCCGCTTTCGAATTGGAAATGGCCTCGAGCGGGATTCACACAAATGCAATCGCCGCACAACAAGTCTGACACAACAACATTTGTAATAATTAAAAAACAATGATGTAATGCCTGGAGATTTAAACTTGAGCAGAGGACAGGTGCAACAGGAACTCTGGTTAGTACTGGGAAAATTGATGATCTCCTCTTCTCCCCTCCTCATCACACCTTAGAATCTGACAAACCATACTTACCGGCATTTGAAGTGTTGCAACCACCATTAAGACACCAAGAGAGAGAGAAAAAACACATATGTTGAAGTTGATTTTCATGTTTTTGTTGTTGTATTTTGTTCTTAAATATTTAAAATTGAATTTATAATTGTTTTGTTTGTTTTGATTTAAAAAAGAAAGTATTAAATGATTATACTGTTAATGTTAATTCGTAATATACATACACATATATAATAGGTACGTATCTGCTATATTTAAATATAAATATATATGTAATAATTATATATAAAAAAAAAAAACATATTTACATTTATTTTTTAATTGATTTACACTGACGGCCTTAAGTAATGAAACACTTGAATTCATTCATGCATTTGTTTGCTGTGATTTTAGGGTTTCCTTCGAATGGGGGGGCATTTTATCGTTTCCAATTAATTTATTGTCATTTCAACAATTAAGAGGTTTGGAGATTTTAGATTATTTTTTTTACAATTAATACATGCTTAGTACATGGAAAAGTCTGAGTGTATGTGTGTGTGTATGGGGGGTAAACGGGGAGTAGGACAGGAGATATTCTATGGGGGGATTTTTTTTAATTTAAAAAAAACATAAACAATTAGTGATTTACAATAAAACTTAAACTAAATGACATTGTGAAATTATGTTTTAAAATAATATGAAATTGTGGACATGTCTGAGACTTGCTGTTGCCCAACTGTCGGCAGCATTGTTTTAAAGGGAATTTGTCTTTTTTTAAATGAAAAATAAAAAAACGAATAAATGTCCTTGTACACATGCCGACTTAACAGGTAAATATGTCTGGTCAGATATTTGCCAGACAACTTGACATTTCAAGTCGCAAAAATTGTTGCACGTGTTGTCGGACTAAGCGAAACAAAGATATTTAACAATTAAATTGAACTAATAATTTCTTTATCACATTTAGCTTATTTATTTAATCCCTTCAAAGCATTTGCTGCCTCGCCAATGCTGCCAACTGCAAAATTCCGCTTAATCTCAAAATGATTAGATGCTAAATACACATAATTCGCTTTAATAATAAACATTGCTTAAAGCCAATGCTAGTGATGTTCAATAAAAGGGACGGGGATGAGGGGGAGGCGGAGGAGGATGGGAGAGGGGAGGGATGGATTGACAGTAATGTTTCATTTGTATATTTCGGTGTAAATATAATTATGCTAGAGATTTTCATTCGTATCTTCTTTCTTATCGTTTCGCTGCTGTCCATCACTGAAATTACAACTTGGCGAAATAACTTTTGTTGTTTGTTTTTGGCCTTCCAACGACCATCGCGACTGTTCAGCTTTCTGTGACAGCATTTCCGTTTTCTAACTTTATTTGTATCTTCTTAAATGCTAATTTTGTATAGTTGTTGTTGTTGTGTTTCGTTTTTTTTTTCGTAAATAGAGATAAAATTGTTTGCAACAGGAAGAGTTTCGGTTTTGTGGTAATGGAAAGGATTTCAAGGAAGATATAGGATATTCATATTTTTTTAATAATATTTTCTTTTAGATAAGGATAAAGAAAACTAATCGCAAGTTGAAATTTTTATTTATATACGAGAGTTTCATCTTGTTGTTATATATATATGTATATTCGAGTGTGTGTATGTGTGTGTGTTTGTTACAATAAAATGCTAAAAAGTTATACTCTATTTATAAGAAGAGAAATGATTTATGACCTATAACTATTCGTTCACTAAAAATGTAATCATCCATCTGCATCATCGTTGTCCAAAACGGCCATCGGCCATAGAATTTCATCTAAAACATTTTTGCTGGAAACTTTTGTCTTTGTTTTTGTTTTGTCGAGATTCTGTGGATTCTGTGGGACCGCTTGGATATTGTATTTGTGTGTGTGTGTGTGTATGTAAGTATTTGTTAATGTATGTAAAGTAAGTATAAAACTACAGGGTGAAAATAAACCTGCCATCATGTCTTGCAGCAAAGTAAGATTGTTGTACGGCTGACCAACATTGCGGGAACGCCTGTTATGATTGATGAGCCTTACACACTGTGCGGATTTGTGTGTGTGTGTGTGTGTTGGTTAAAAGTGCTGCTGATAACGCCCTTTCCATGTTTCCATGTTCATTCCTCGGTTGTGGCCGCTGCTAAACATTCGAGCAGGTATTTTCAATATCACAGCCTTAAAGCACAAACTTGGAATTATTTTCATAACTTCTCTATCTCTCTCTCGCTCGCTCACATTTGAAGTTCGTTGGTAATGTAACGAGATTTGCTTCCAGTTGTTTGGCGGAACAAGTTTGCCGTCCACCATTTCGTTTAATTCGTAAGGTTTGTACATTTTGTAATTGATTCGATTTGTTGTTGTTGTTGTTGCTATTCGTTTTGATTTTGCTATTTGCTTGGCGCTTTTTTTTTTTGTTTTAGGATTTTTCTGCTATCTTTGTGAAAATTGTGTGTATGTGTGTGTTTGTTGCGTCAGTCTACTTATTCTGTATTAGAAGCTCTATGAGTTTCCACCATTGGTATGAGGGGGCGTTGCGGGCCATTTGTGTTGACACTACTGCCACAGCTACAGCTACAGCCGCAATGCTTCAGTAGGCCTAAATTAGCCACGCTTTAGTACAAGGAACTTTCTTTGGTAATTTTGGTAATAGGGATGCACGTTTGGTTTCAAACGCGTATACTCACCACAGGTGGATACGAGATGTACTTGTCGCTCATATTGAAGTATGAACCATCCGGCGGCGGGGCTGGCGAGGGCGACGATATGTAGCTGCCCTTGATGACGAGCGAGGAGGCGGGCGAGGGCGAGGGTATGTACATGCCGTTGGACATTAGCATGTGATCATCTTTGGAACGATTCATCTGCTCGGGCATGCCGGAACGATTACTGTGCCGCTTGGGATTGGGCAGGGTGCGTGTGAAGTCGGGATTGCACATGTACGGCGGGGTGCACATGGAACTCTCCTGATACTTTGGGGGATACGCTGTGGACTGTATGATATCGACATTCTCCACCAGGTACGTGGATGTGGCCTGCTTCTGGACATCGGCCTGCAGAGCAGAAATGGGCAACTGTGTGTAAAATCACATCAATGAGAGTTAGAGTTAGTTGGTTAGCATCAAGCATATGAAAGTTACGATCATGAGAATGTGAGAGGTGATTAACGTGAGAGCATTTTAGAGCATAATTGGCCATCAAGTCTTACCTTGTAGACAGACTGATTGTCCTCCTTCGAGTAGGCATCATCATTGGGGGCTTCCGTTTCAGCTGAACTCTTGTTTTGGCGCCGTATCACGAACCAGGCAACCAAGGCAGCATTCAACACCAACAACACCATGGCTGCAGAGGTAATGCCGATAATCATCATGTTGGGCATTTCGTCTTTTTCATTCAGTTCGGCCGAATAGGGTTGGGAACCTAATTTAACAAGCAAAAGCAAAAAGGTCAAAAGGTCACTCAGTCAATAACGGTGATTTATCTCCCTTTCCACTTACCTTTGGTTAATGTCAATTTAATATCCGGCAGGAATTTACTGCCACCCGCCTCATTGGCTGCCATCACGGAAAACAAATAGGTACTGCCCGCCTTTAGGCCATCTATGCTTATGTTGAAACTGCCCGGTTTGGCATCCACATACTTGTATTTGTCCTCATTGTGGATTTTGAAACGCAGCCGATAGTAGACCGGTAGGCCGCCATCGAAACCGGGAATCCATGCCAAATCCACACCATTGTCGGTGACATTGTTCACCAACAGTTCCAAGGGTGTATCAGGTCTGGTGGGCTTGGAAAATTCCACACTTGTGCTGGCCTGGCCGTGGGTGTTGCGAGCCACACACTCATACTGGCCATAGTCATCGGCCGCGGTGTTCTCTATGACTAATGTTGACTCATGAGTCAAGGCGTCCAATTTGCGTTCCAATGCCTTGAATTTACTGCGACGCATTTTCAAGTCTTTGCCATTGCGACGCCACACAAAGCTGGGCTGTGGTGCAGCCAAGGCTTTGCACACCAAACGGCCACGCTCACCCATACGGGCGGCAAACCGCATCAGGGCAGGTGAATGATCCAATTCGGGAGCAGCTGAAAACCACAAGATAATTGATGTTGATGTATTTATGTTTAGCAATTTCAATTAACTTGAAAACGTGTGTGTGTGTGTGTGTGCTCTCACATACACACACACACATGTGTTCAGTTGCAACATAAAATGACAATAAAAAAGAAGACTTACATTGAACAACCAACAAAACATCCCTTTGGGCAGGTGGTCCTCTCTGATTGTCAACAACACAGGTGAAATTGCCAATATCCGAACGTTGTACTCGGCTAATGTGCAAGTACGAGGTTCCATTGTCATAGGTTATTGTTGTTCTGGCTGACATGTCATAACCGGCTCTAATCCAAGTAACATGCTCGGCAGCCAAAGGACGAGCCATAATGGAACAGGCCAACACCGCATCATCGCCTTCGGCAAAACTGGAGCCATCTGTAACCGATTCAATGGATGGCGGAACTAAGAGCAAAAAAAATGAAAATAATTCGTTGGTTTTGTTTCGCTTTTCGTTGCATCCTTTACTTACATTCCACAACCACTTGTATCTCCATAATGGCTGTGCCCTGAGAATTCATGGCTTCGCAAATGTAGCTACCAGCATCATTTCGTGACAGTTTGCTGATGTTCAGGGTGGCCCCATCCGATATGATACGCTGGTTAGGAGCATTGCTCATAATGGGTAGGCCATCCTTGGTCCAGGTATAGGACATGGACATAGGATTGCCGGAGGCATGCAGTTCGATGCGCAAAGGTTCACCTTCAACGCCCAAATAGGTTGTCATTTGGGGATTATCGAATTTGGGAGGATCTATTGGAAAATGAATTGAAATCTTATATACCATCCCGCAAACACTCCTTGTTCTCCCCAATACTTACACAAAACATCCAAATTGACTGTTTCGTGAACACTTCTCTGCAGGACCTCATTGATGGACTGACAGGTGTAGACAATGCCATCCAAGTCTTGGGTAATGTTGACATACACCTCCAAAGTGGAAACCGAACCGCCCCACAGACCGGGTTTTGTGGACAGGTTGACACCCTCAACAGGTATGCCATCTTTCCACCACGACACTTTGGCTGGGGGGTTACTGGAACTTGAGTCACAAATGAGTTTGGCACGGATACCAGGTACCAAGTTCTTGGGCTCCACCGATATCTTAACGGTTTCCGGTGGAACTAAAATTCATAAAATTTACGTTTTAAAATTGAAATCCCTCGACAAACCTTTCTGGGCCATACTTACAATCAACATTTAGGGTTTTTGTGGCAAACAATGGAATTTCAATGGCTGGACTTTGTATTTCACACTTGTAGATGGCGTTGTTGTCCGAGGCATTCACCAAGATGGTCAATTCCGATATGATTTTCGAATCCACAACTTTCGCCTGGGTATTGAGTTTCTTGTCGTTTTTATACCAAGTCAGGGCTGGTGGGGGATTACCACCCGAGGATGAACATTGTAATTTCTTGACAGAACCCGAAGTGATGACATCACCGTCATTATACCCTGTCAACAAGGGTGGCGAGGGTGGATCTGTGCAACGCAAAATAAATCAAAAGGGGGAGAATCTCACATAAATTTAATTTCGATTCACATTTCAATTAACTTCGTCATAAAACAAAAACAAGAAGAAGACGAAGAACAAGAAGACAACAACAACAACTTACACAAGACATTGACACTGTGGGAACCCACCACGTTTTGTGTCAGTTCCACATTTAGAGCATGACAAACAGCCACAAATGTTCGTGAATTGGAGTCAATGGTTATGGAAACATTCGATGTGGAAAACCAACCACCTTCGATGCTTTTCTGCGTCTTGTACGTGGAGTTGCTCAGCGGGCGTCCGTTAAGCGACCAACTGATGCGGGCCGGTGGATTGGAGGGCGCTGTGATGCAAGTCAACTGGACATTGTCTCCCACTTTGGCCTCTGTGGCGCCGGAAATTGTAACTTCTTTGGGGGCAACTAAACGCGCAATGAGAGGAGATAATTAAAATTAATTAAAGGCTTCACGCGGGCGATTGATAGAGAGAGAGTGCTTACACAAAACGGTCAGATTGAGTTCAGCCTTAAAAGCGGTATTGGATAAAATATTCTTGGCTTCACACACCAATTGGGCGCCATTATCTGAGGCTTCGGCTACAAAGCTATATGCATTTTCCGATAATCGTCCAGATGTCCTATTCCAAACAAAAACAATAAAAAATAAAATTTCAAAAAATCCAACAAAAAATAGTTCCAGTCTTTACCTTTGTGGCGAATTGATAACTTGGCCATTTTTGTACCACACCAATTGGGCAGGCGGGTTGCCACCGCGACTACGACAGGCTATTTTGACACTTTGTCCTCTGCGTAAGGTTTCACCTTGTGTGTAACCCTCAAAGAATGGTGGACCGGGAGGATCTGTGATGAGGGGATGACAGTTTGGTTGAGATCTCTTCCAAACCAAGAATAAAACAAAAATAATAACTTACACAAAACCGAGAGCTGTACACCAGAACGCATGGGTACATCGGGAGGCAGGGCCTTGTGTTTGGCCTCGCACGAGAAGTCTTTGTAATCATCGTCGGCCTTGGGTTGTATGGTTATGATGGAGACCGTGGTAAAGCGTTTCGGAGCAGTTTCGGTAATTTCAACATGGGGTTTTACTAAGAATGGATGGGGGTTGGGGAAATGAAATTATTATTTGGGAATAACATAAATTCTTTCTCATCCTAAATAACACTATTCCAGATTGATTGGATATAAAAAAGTAATCATGTGACATGGAAAACTTAAACCACTTACCACCAGCTATCGGCACATTATTGCTATTCCACACCAAATTCGCTGCTGGATTAGCATTCTCTGCAATGCATTTCAAGGTCAGATTTTGCTTTTCAATTACCTCCACTTTGGTATTGGGAGCATAACCGTCAATCGAAATCGAACTGGGTGCAGCCACAATGCTCAGCTTGGCATTGGCCCGAATGGCTGGATTGCCAGCAGCAGGTCCTACCTGACACTGGTACTCGGCATCATCTTCCAGCGAGGCATTCTTAATTTGTAAATTATAAATGCCGTTTGCGGCATCGACCAGAACGGAGTAACGGGGGAAACCATGAATCACGGCCGAGAAGCCCAAAGCAAAGCCATCTTTGGTCCATTGAACTTGGCCGGCCCGGTTGGCCACCTCACAACGCAGCAGTGTATCGGTGCCCTCTAAAATCTGTAAATCGTGGGGGGTAACTCGAAACTTTTGTATGGGGGTCGTGGATTGTGCTGCGACCGTTGCAATGACTGAAAGAAAGAAGAGAAAATCGTTGTTAATTTAGTTATTTAAAAAAGATGAAAGTATTTTAGAAATGTTCATTTCGATGATCATTTCCACGAGAAAACAAAAACAAAATTGTCATTTATGTCACCACGGTTGGTTGTTGTATTCCCCTCCCCTCGCCCGGACAACCCACGTTGATTTCTTTTTGTTGGACAATATGAGAAGAAGAAAAAAAACACCCACATGAGAAAACCCAGCTTATGTCCGGGTCAGATAAGCCTTGAATATGTTTGGTGAACTAATTTTCCAGCGTTTAACACCAGACAAATACGACGACAACAACAGCAGGCAATGCAACGTATTCCATACCTGCATCAATGACGAACGCTGTTGTGTATTCTGACCAACCAACCAGCCAGTCTGTTTGTTTGTTTGTCGTTCCCAACCTACATGTTCTTCGATTTGATTCATTGACTTATTCATCCACCAATGTTATCTGAACCATTAACAAAGGCTACAGCAACAACAACAACACGGCCAAGAGCAGCGGTCAAAGAGTAAGGCAACAGGCTAGCTGATTAGCATAATAAACGAAGAAATCAATGATTTGAAATCCCACTAAAGCAATCAACAACATTGGGTGGTTGGCCGGCCGGCCGAATGGCTGGCTGGCTAGTGGTCAAATATCCACATAATTTCACCCATAGTTTTGGGCCCCTATGAAGGCGTCTAATGAACGAATGAATTGATATGAGGTGGGTAGGGTGGGGTATAAATGGATATTAAGGTACGAAAGACTCACTAATCATTTTCCTAATGTATGGCCTATAACAGATACAACAACAACAACACCACCCCACCAGCAGCCACAACTACAACAAGAATATTATAGTGTCCAACAAGCAAATCCCATCCACATCGACGACAAACAAATCAATTCCCATGGCTTTATTAGCTGCAACAAATACCACACCCAATGTCATCCAAGGTGTGTACACTCGAAGAAAATTGGGTGTTAGAATGTAGATTGGTATTCTGATATTCAATGTTCAATACTAATTTTAGAATATACAACACTTCCGGTTGGGAAATACTAAGCAAATCTAAAAAAAATGTTTCTGTACATGGTTTGTAGCTCTTTGTACCAAAATACTGGGGAATTAAAGAAGCTAAGTTTAGTGTGGAAAATTTCAGTCAAAACGGTACAATTTACGATCAATATCAAAAGTCGGTAAAAGTTATAGTATTCAAAATTGTTTAAATCTTGCGTTTCCTGGATTTATTATTCCAGATTAAAATTCGGTAAACTTTCAACATTTTTTTTCTTTGAACAGTTCCCATTCTAAATTTTACTTAATTTGCATTTCATAAAACATCAATCCACTGACTTTAGAGGAACGGATTTAGACCTTAACACAACTTAAATTTTTTTTCAAGTGTTCTTAAATAAAAACATAATAATTAAACCAGTAAGGGAAAGTCGAAAGTCTGTTGAGGTCGACTATATAATACCCTATTCATATTTAGAAGAACTCCCGTAACAAAATAATTTATTTGAAGTAGATCATACCACCTTTCAACATTTGGCTTTAGAGTAGTTTTAATTTGGTTTCCGAGGGAACTAATAACCAAGGTATATCCAATTCCAAGTCGATTTTCACTAAATTTGACGGAGACATTTTTATCTTTCATACCAAATAACATTGCTTTAGAGTGCATATATCACTTCGAGAAGAATTATATTAACAAAAATATATATCGAAGAAGAAAATCTGGCAAAGGTATTTCCGAGCTCTATATGGTATCTGGTACCATATATCATTGTTGTCGAATGCATATTATGACCAAGTCGGATGAAACATATATGTGGGAGCTATAGCTTATTTGATGTACTTGCTTCTAGACTGAATTCGATCGGATGTGCCAAACTTCAAGTCATTTGGACTGATATTGGCCATTTGGTGCACAATTATCCCGAAATCTGTTGAAGATATACATGGAAGCTATATATAATTTGAATCGATTCTCACCAATTCAAATGAAATTCGTCCTTGGGCCAAGCAAATGTTGTTTGGAAAATTTCATCTCAATCGGAAAAAAAATAAGTAAAGATTAAACCATAACTTCCGTTCTTTAAAAATTACTGTTGAATTTAAAAATTTGAATTTAAAGCCGAAAATAGTGACAGATTTATTTAGTTTACCATTCCTTGAAGACAATAATCCTCCCAGTCTAAGTAAACAAAAAGCAAAACTTATTTCCGCAATTATTTCCGAAAAATGGCTACAACTTTCTCCAGGAATTTAAAAAAAAATTGCAAAAATATATATTTTCAATACATTTTCACCTAATATTTTGGCTATATAACGTCTTATATCGAATCCCAGATATCGATGATTTAAGAAAAAATGCAAAATAAAGAATTTCTTATAAATGAAGAAACCCCACTCTCCTTCTCTTTTCACAGTGTAAGCCCACATTTGCCCCCTCCCCACATATTGTGCGTTCCCATCTCGATAAGAGACCAATCACGTTTAACAAGAAGAACAACAATAACATTGATCATTGGATTAATTGATTTTTAGCCTCAATATAATGACCAAACCATCAACTCGATTTTGGTCGGCACGATTCATTTCCGTTGAGACGAGCATTTAATATAATTTATGGTAATTGTAATGGAAATGTCATCTTTCGAAAGGGGGAGGGGGGCGAATGGGTTCTGGGCAGGCGGGCAAAGAGTTGTGTCCATTTTGGGTACACATTGCCAAATGTTGGACGAACGTGTAAAACGTGTGAGTCGAGTTTGGCCCCTGTTTTCTGTTTTCATTTCGTTTCATTCATTCATTCACTCATTCAGTTCACAATCGTGCTGAAGTGTTGTTTTGACCATATTTACAGTTTTGTTTTACTTTTTTGATATATGAGTGTGTATGTATCCATGTGTGTTTGTAGTATCCATGTATTTGTATTCGGCATTCCTGTCAATTGAATTAGAGTATCTTCCAAATCCCTACTCGAATTTTGAGTTCTTTACGTTTTAGTGGCTAAGACCACAAGATGGACAGTTTGTCATCTGTGTTTTGTGGTCTAAGTTTTCATAAAACAATTAATGCCAATGTGAACGCAAAGGAAAAGAGGGAGAATGTGAAATGGAAACATAGAAGTTATGGTCAAGCGTTAAGACGGACCCTATGGACACGTGAGAGAGGGTATTTGTTGCCATAAAAACTCCTTCAACTGTGACAAGTTAAGGCAGAAATGTTAAATGTGACATGTTTCGTGTAGTTCTTTTTTGCCTTTGTGTGTGTGTGTGTGTGTGAATGAGTGAGTGCCTGTGTTTTTTGTGTAATATAACCGTAGTATAACACTTAACCGGCTTCCTTTTCTTCACTTCATTCATTCATAAGGAACAATAAAAAAGAAGAAAAAACGAAAGAAAAACAATGAATAGTCTTTCAAAAACTTAGGGGGAAGTGTCACAAGAAGGTTTTATGGTCATTTGTTATAGCTGAGGTGGATACAGGCAACATGTTTATGTGTGTGTGAAGGCTTTCTCCGTTAATACTCTTCAAATAGCATTTGGCCTTATGGCCCAGGCAGACCAACATCACCATCACAACCACCACCATTAATAAAAACAACTGCAACAATACAAGTAGCATTTAAAAGACAACAACATTGAAACCAAAAATTACTGAAAATTGTTTGTTGTTGATCCTTAACCACAAACGACACAAGAACTTCTTCCTCTGCTTCTTCTTCTTCTATTGATGGACTCTTGTTAGGGTCACAACTAGCAACTGCTGTTTATACATGCACACACACAAACACATATGGCCCATGACGCACAGGGTGCGAAACAAATCATCCACTTTTATGCCGTCCATTGTGATAAATTGTGAAATTTAATGAAAATTCATCGTCATTAGTGCCGTAAGAAAGTCTGACAGTTCAACATCCTGTTGATATCTAGAATATACTTTAATGCCTAGAACGCATGAGGGAGCCAAGAAAACTTGTCTAATTATGTTGATTTTTTTTTTTTTTTTTTTTTTTTTTTTGCTTTGCTGGTGCTCTTCAAGACAACTTATGTAGGACCGACCCTCTGCATTCATTTGCTTAACACTGCAACGGTCGACTGCAGTGGAGAAGAGTTAAAGGACTACAATTCCAGTTGCAAAACCAAAAAAGTGACAATGACAACATACCTAACACATACTATATTTAATGACATAAAAACCTGGAACAGAAGACAGGCGATTTGCAGCAAATGCTCACACATCACACAAGTGGACACACACTCGCAAACATACTCCACACATTTTCAGGCTTAAGGCTGGAGTAGCAACGTAGATATCTGCATATGACTATTTCAAATCACCAGTCAGTCAGTTTGGCTAGCCAGTCAGCTTCTGTGTGAATGCACGTCGTTTGGTCCCTTAAAAACTAAGCAAAGACAAGGACAGAGCAAAGGAAAAAAAATCTCTCCCCAATATCAACTCAAACAGCTTCTAAACAATTTCGTATATAAGCCATAAACAACAGCAACAAAAAAGACGACATCAGCAATTACCATTAAAACCAAAACCTAAATGACAATGTCCAGAAAGACGAAGGACGAAGATGACAAAATCGACAAAGAAAAACCCCAAAACAAAAAGTTGTCTTTAAAACTGAAAAAGCAAACGACCACATGTATTAGAGGGGGGAGAAAAATAGAGTATTGGTAGTATCAGACTCAAATTAACTCTTTGTTAAAAATGCCAGGATATAATTTTAATTTGGTGGATTTGAAAGTTCTTGGTTGCAATTCCAAGGTAGCAACTACTAAAAATAGATTGACTCAACAATTTTGATGTACCATTGAAACCGCTACACCATTTTTGGATTTAAAGAGAAAAACCCGCAAACGTTTTTGCTGTTGTTGATGTTCTCGCTAACCCTCCTCCCTGCTTTGGCAGCAAACCACATATGAAACTTTCTATGCAAATTGTAGCATAAAAACAACAACTACACAACA